TTATGACCTACTTTTCAATGAATTGACCAACAATTTCATGGTGAGATGGGATTTTCAGAATGGTAGTGTGAGGAGCAAGGAGAAACATCTCCCTTGAATGACATCTATTAAGTTGTTCAAAATTTGCAAATGCAACCATTAGAAATCTCTGGAGATTATTCCTAGAGCTTACAAAAATTTGATAGAATTGATCAAATTTAACAAAAATCCACAGAGCTCAAAAAGGAGAGCTTTAGCCTGCTCCCATCTACTCATGGCTTTGCCTTGAGGAAGAACTGTTTCAGCAGATTCAGCAGCCAAGTGGCAGTTCTATCTCCCCCAATACTGTGGGTAGAAGAGCTCTTCTGAGTGAGTTAGGCTGGCAGACACTGTCAGACCTCATTTTCCATGCATTCTTACTGCAGAAGGCATACATGAAGTGGGTGGTGAGAATGAAGCAGTGGTGCCATTCTCCTACTCCCAACTCCCAGTATCTAATGGTAATGTTGGTGGGGCAGCTGATGAAGAGTGGAGTCACCATTTCCTGCAGAGCTCTGTATTTCAGGCAATTGCTCCAGTGGGATAGACAGGTATGAGCTCTAATCTTCCCCAGCTTCCTTTGGCAACAGCATTGTCCCTAACAAATTAGGCAGTCAGTGAATATAGCAGATCGCATCTTCCCAGTTCTTGTCTATAGAAGGTTCATACTGGGTAGTTTCTACTGCTCCACCCCAACTCCTCATACAGACTTATTCTCCATAGGAGAGATACCTATAAGACAGTAGGGGTAGATGAAGCTCTTTCTAATGCCCACAACCCACAGATTCTGCTGTGTGTAGCTCAGAGTGTCTTCCAAGAGAGGTGGTGCAAACCTCAAAATGGCAATATCTCAGCCCTTGCCAAGTGACCCAACATTAATTGGATTAGGTTGTGGAGCAATTTATACCTTAGAGCATGGTTCCCAACAATAGAATAATCAACTAGCAATAAATGGAAGCTAACAACTGGGCTTGTTGTTAGAAGCCTAGTTGAAGCCCAAAAGAAGCAAACAGACAGAAGTTTAATGGGAGATCAAGAAAAGAGACAATCAAAAGGATACTAGCTAAAAATAAAATGCAAAGAATTTATAAAGAAGATTCCAAAAGCAATCATAGCAACAACAAAAATAAATAAATGGACCTGATTAAATTAAAAAGCTTCTATACAGCCAAAGAAGCAATCAATAAATAGACAACCTATAGAATGGGAGAAAATATTTGCATGCTATACATCCAATAAAAGGCTGATAACCAGAATCTATAAAGAACTCAAGCAAAACAGCAGGAAAAAAATCAAACAATCCCATTAAAAAGTGGGAAGAAGATATGAACAGATACTTTTCAAAAGAAGATAGACTAATGGCTAAACAAACATATGAAAAAATGTTCAATATCTCTAATCATCAGGGAAATGCAAATGAAAACCACAATGAGATATCATTTACCTCCAGTGAGAACGGTTTTTATCAAAAAGTCACAAAACAATAAATGTTGGCATGGATGCGAGAGATAGGAACACTCATACATTGCTGGTGGGACTGCAAACTAGTACAACCTCTGTAGAAAGTAATATGAATATTCCTCAAAAAGCTAAAAATAGAACTAACATTTGATCCAGCAATTCCATTACTGGGCATCTACCCAAAAGAAAAAGAAAAAGACATCCTATAAAAAAAGACAACTGCATTAGAATGTTTATAGCAGCACAATTCACAATTGCAAAGATGTGGAAATAACCCAAGTGCCCATCAATACATGAGTGGATTAATAAAATGTGGTATATGTACACTGTGAAGTTCTACTCAGCCACGAAAAAACAATGGTGATCTAGTACCTCCTGTATTGTGCTAGGTAGAGCTGGAGACCATTCTACTAAGTGAAGTATCACAAGAATGGAAAAACAAGCACCATATGTACTCACCATCAAATTGGTATCAACAGATCAACACTTATGTGCACATATAGTAGTAACATTCATCAGATGTTGGGCAGGTGGGAGTAGGGGCAAGGGGATGGGTATATTCACATCTAATTGTCAATATTGATAAATCATATTAGTAATAATAACTCTTGATATGATATAATGAGAATAGTAATTAATTTCTTTGGTCCTCTTCCAAAAACATATCATCCCAGTCTAATCATGAGACAAATATCAGAGAACCACCAACTGAGTGCTTTGTCTACAAAATTCCTGGTTATATCTATCAAAAACCTGTCAAGGTTATCAAAAATAAGGAAAATCTGAGAAACTATCACAGTTTAAAGGGATCCAATAACTGCTAAATTTAATGATAACCTGGATGAGATTCTAGAACCAAAAAATAGCATTAAGGAAAAATTTAAGAACTCTGAGAAAGCATGGACTTTAGTTAATAGCAATGTGCCAATATGGGTTAATTAATTGTAAAAAATACTAATGTAAAGTGTTAACAAGAGAGAAAACTGGGTATGGGATAAATGTGAACTCTATAGTATATTTGCAATAATTCTGCACTATATTTGCCATTCTAAAATGAAACATTTATTTACAAATGTACATAGAACTACACAACCAAAAGAATGCAAAAGAAAAATATTCTAAAAATGTGGCTTTATATTAGATAAATAATTGCAGTGTGATTGGAAGGCTTTACTCAGATCTAATGCTGGAGAATATTCATTGTATCCAAAGGTTTAATTTTAGACCTTACACCTCTCATTTGTCCCATAAGTAAGAAGCCATGTATAGTTCTCTGAGTTCTGAATTAGCATTCCTTTTTAAGAATCTCTCATCATACTAAGAGTTTGAGATGAAAGATAAACTTAGGACACATTTGGATTGACCTGTTTGCCAGAAGGCATTTAGCCCAGGAAAATCTCTGTGGGGGAAGCTTTGTGAAGAAGATATGGAGAAAAAAGAAGTCCTCTAATCCTATCTTTTTTAAGGGCTACATTTTCCATTTAGCTCATCTCTAATGCACATTTGAACTCTTAATTAAATTCATTAGATAAAACGTTTGCTCAGCTGTACAGGTTGATCCAAAGTCACAAATCTGCCTCAGAGCACAATTTTTGATTCATGGGGAAAAAATGTGTTGAAAGCATTTTTTATGGAATCAAATTACAAGCTCTGACATTTTAACAATTCCCTGTATATTTCAGTTGATAAAGCTGAAGATGAATAAAGTCAATCATATTATTTGGGAAAAATAGATTGACATTATTTTGTTTATTGGATATAATGAAATAAGAATATGTTTTAAAATTTTTAGTAAAACTGAAAAAGTACTAATTTTTTTTTGAATTATTGAAAATAAAATATAGTAACATCATTTACATGTTATTTTTATCCAAATCATATCTTGAAAATTATAAAGTAATCTGAGGAATTATTTAAAAACCTGTAGATCATATTGAGGGGAGAATGATCATTTTTTAAATTGTAAACCACATTGGTGGGTACAGAGATTTGAACCCTTAATGAGTTTATATGCACTTATTACAAATTTTGACAAAATTTAAATGACTTCTAGTTTATACAATATGTCAAAATACCTTCAAAGTAAATTTAGATAATAACTGTCAAAATATTTTTGAAAATACTGCAGGATATTATTTACCTCTCTAGTTTTATCTTCTCCATTCCTGCACAGTTCACTTCAACTGAACTTATATCCCTATTCATTCTTCTGCTTATAAGTATGGGCTTGTGTAAGTTTCTTGCCCAGGTTGATTGTTTATTTTCTTTTCTACAAATGTGGTAGGGGTTGGGAGGAAGGCAGTAACTATTTCTTGGTTTAAAATTAGGATTAAATGAGATATTTTATGTTAAATATGCATTACAAGAGGTGGCACATAGAATCCTTCAGTAATGTTAGTTAAGAGGAGAGGAGGATGGGAAAGAAAGAGAATTTATGAATTATTTTTATATTTTAGGAAGTGACTAGATAAAAGACAACTCTTCCTTCATTGTACAATTACACTTTTTCAGGTTTCCCTACCTTTTTTTTTTTTTTTTACAGAGTCTCACTTTTGTTGCCCAGGCTAGAGTGAGTGCCGTGGCGTCAGTCTAGCTCACAGCAACCTCAATCTCCTGGGCTCAAGCAATCCTCCTGCCTCAGCCTCCCGAGTAGCTGGGACTACAGGCATGCGCCACCATGCCCGGCTAATTTTTTGTATATATATTTTAGTTGGTCAATTAATTTCTTTCTATTTTTAGTAGAGACGGGGTCTCGCTCAGGATGTTTTCGAACTCCCAACCTCGAGCAATCCTCCCGCCTCGGCCTCCCAGAGTGCTAGGATTACAGGTGTGAGCCACTGCGCCCGGCCTTCCCTACCTTTTTGAATAAAAATTCAGTCACATTTTTTCATTTTCTAAAAAATAAAATAAAATAAAGCTGTATTCCCCCAAAAAACAAACAAACAAACAAAAAAAGAATTGAGGAAACACACGTTGACTGGCCATCTATTTGGCCCTAAGCTCTGTCCTAAGCAAGAGAATCAGAAGACAAGTAAGATACAGATTCTATTTAACAGAAATTCATAGTCCAGTAGAGAAAAAAGAAATGCAAACTAGTAAAGCATTATAAGTTCCATAGTATACCAGATGAAGAGAACAAATCTGTTTATGAGACTATGACGAAAGAGCTAAATTAGAGAACCTGAAATTCATTATGAATTTGTATTGATACCAAATTGAAGTGTCAGCCTTCACTCAATTTTTAGAACAGTCTCATCTACAGATAGGAAATCATAGATTCTACCTTAATATAAATTTTCCATAAATCAATTATTTATGTCTCTTTCTCCTTCTGGTCCTATCTGATCTTCTTGATTCACAGTCTAACAGGGACCCTGCCCATAAATACTTCTGGATGACAGTTGATCACACTGCATAGGATCCCAAGCACTGTACCCTCTAGTTTCTTTCAACTTCTCTCAAATCATTAGTAAGATTTCAATTACTCATTCTGAAAGATAAGAAAATGCAATGTTACTTACATATTGTGAAGACTACACCTACCACCAAACACTTTGTATATCTGGGAAACAGCGACCCACATGAAACAGACTAGAAAATGGAACATTTGGTTGGAATACACATACATAACAAGTATATAGAACCTTATTTAGACCTCTGAGTACATCATGAGTATTCTAACTCTGGGTTCTATCGTTGCTTAATCATGTTCAAAATATTTATTTTTCTGGTAACAAAAAGTAATGTGCATGCAATATAATCAATTGGAAAGTAGAAAAGAACATTAAGAGGAGAAAATTGGCTGTAATATGGCAATTAAAAATCTCATAAATGTATTTTACAATAATTTGTAATTTCTCTGTATCTTTTAATGTTTCTAACACAGGCATTTAAAAAATTATGACAAGTTTTTTTTTAAGTAAAATGATTTTAAAAAATCAGGCTTATTCATGCAGATGTAGAAATTAGCCATTATACCTTTTAAATTATTTTACATTTTTTGAAATTATAAGTTATATCCTAAATGTTATAGAATATACATATATTCTCATAATTCTGATATTTTCTTTGCACAGATTCCTTGCAAAGTAACATATTATCAAATAATGTAGTGATATCGAGGTTTTCAATCAATTTAAAAATCCCTCCAACAATATAGGGGAATACCAATCTCAACATATTATTATAGCACTTTGTGCTATTTTCTACCTGAATATCTGTAACTTTTATAGGAAAAGAAAAATTTATCATTACTATTTTTATTTTCTTAATTTTTATTTGTATTAAAATTAAATGATCATAATTTGGTTATTGATAATTTCAATTCCCTCTGTAAATAATCTATATTCTTTGTTTTCCTCAATTAAAAGTGTTGTCTTATTCATTATGTACAAAGAATATTCAAGCTTTGTTATATTTTGTATAAATATTGTTTTGAATTATTCATACTTTTCTGTTCTTACTTTTATTACATTTTTTAATCTAGAAAAAGCCTATTTTCCAGGTGTTTTGATCTATTGAACTTTTGATTTCACATTCCCCTTCCCCTTACTAAGAAATCCCTTCCACAGAAGTAAAACCACATACCATATGATCATCTCAATAGGTGAAGAAAAAGCTTTCTATATCCAGCACCCCTTCATGATAAAAACTCTCAACACGTTAGGCATAAAGGGAACATATCTCAAAATAATAAAAGTCATCTATGACAAACCCACAACCAATAGCATACTGAATGGTGAAAAATTGAAAGCATCCTCTCTAAGAACTGGAACAAGAAATGTGTCCCTGCTGTCACCACTTCTATTCCAGAGTGCTGAAGTCCTAGCCAGAGCAATCAGGCAAGAGAAAGAAATAAACAGCATCCAAATCAGGAAATAGGAGGTCAAACTATCCCTGTTTGTCAACAGTATGATCTTGCTCTAGAAAACCCTAAAGAATCTACCAAAAGACTCTTAGAATTAGTAAATAAATACAGCAAAGTCTCAGGTTATAAAATCAATGTACACAAACCAGGAGCATTTATATATACTAATAATAGTCAAGCTGAGAGTCAAATTAAGACTGCAATACCATTCACATTAGCTGTGAAATATAAAATAACATACCCAGGAATATACTTAACTAAAGAGGTGACAAATATCTACAAGGAGAAATAAAAAACAATAATGAAAGAAATCATAAACAAGACCAACAAATAGAAAAACATTACATGCCCTTGGATTGAAAGAGCAAACATTATTGAAATCTCCATACTGCCCAAAGTGATTTATAGATTCAATGCAATTCCCATAAAAATACCAATGTCATTTTTCAAAGATATAGAAAAAACAATCCAAAACTTCACATGTAATAAAAAAGAACCCAAATAACCAAAGCAATCTTAAGCAAAAAAACAAACTTGGTGGCATCATATTATCTGACTTCAAATTTTACTACAAGGGTAACCAAAAGAGCATTGCACTGTTATAAAAGTAGAGATATAGACCAATGGAACAGAATAGAGAACTCAGAAATAAAACTGTATAGCTATGGCCAATTGATTTTCAACAAAGCAAACAAAAGCATACACTGGGAAAAAGATACCCTAATTCACTAAATAGTGCTGGGAAAATTGGATAACTATATGCAGAAGAATGAAACAGGATCCTTATCTCTCACCTTATTCAAAAATTAACTCAAGGTGTATTAACACCTAAATATAAGACCATAATCCATAAAAATTCTGGAAGAAACCATAGGAAAAACTATTCTAGACATTGGCCTAGGCAAAGAATTTATGACTAAGAGCCCAAAGGCAAATATAGCAACAACAAAAATAAGTAAATTGTACTTGAACTAAAAGTTTATGCACAGCAAAGTAAATAAAATCAACAGAATAAAGAGACAACCTATAGAATGGGAGGAAATATTCACAAACTATACATCAAAGAAAGGGCCAATAGCCAGAATCTACAAAGAACTCAACAATCACCAAGATAAGAACAAATAACCTCATTTAAAAAGTGGAAAAGAGATGTGAACAGAGTTATTTCAAAAGAAGATAAACGTCCAAATGACATATGAAAAAATACTCAACATAATTTATTATCAAAGAAATGAAAATTAAAGCCACAGTGAAATACCACCTTGCCTCATCAGAATGGACATTATTAAAAAATCAGAAAAAAACAATAGATGTTGGCATGAATACAGTGAAAAGGAACACTATTGGTGGTACTATATATTAGTATAACTTCTATGGAACACAGTATGGAGATTCCTCAAAGAACCAAAAGTAGATGTACCATTTGATCCAGCAATCACACTACTAGAGATCTACCCAAAGGAAAAGAAATCACTATATCAAAAAATACTTGCACCCAAATGTTTATCAGAGTGCAAAGATATGGAATCAACCTAAATGCACATCAGTTGGTGAGTAAAGAAAATGTAGTATTTACATATAAAGAAAGTTCTACACAGCCATAAAAAGGAATGAAATAATGTCATTTACAGCAACTTGCATGGAACTGGAGACCATTATGCGATGAAGAACCTGTGAACACTGGGCGACATGTGGTCTTCTGGATCCTTGAGTTAGGCATGTTGACTAAATCTCAATTTTACAGAACAAATCCTTTTGTAAAATTTGGATTCAGTCAAGGGGCTGCACTTGGTGATCTGGAGTGCCACAAGCTGGAGGGGAGGTTGGGAGAGGGGAGAGGATAAAACTTACCTATTATTCTGGTGACGGGCACACTAAAATCCTGACTTCAGCATTATACAATTCATCCATGTAACAAGAACATCGTACCACCTAATATTTTGAAATGAAAATTATTACTTTTAAAAATCTCTTCCCAACATCTTAAACATTCAAAAACATTCATGAATGTTTATTGCAGGTTTGATAGTAAACCAATTTAGAACAATTGCAGTTTATGTTGGTGTGTGATACAAAATAAGGATCTACTTGATTTTTCTTCTAAATGTTACCTGTTGTGTTATATACAGGATATTGCTATCTCAGAATGGCCACAGAGAGAAAGAAAAACTAAGGAGTTAGAGTTAGAAGACCGGCTCATAAAAATGTTTCCATACTTCAGAGGGAAGGCTTTCTGCTATTTTTGTCATTACAGTTTCTGTGTCCTACAGTTCTACCTATATATTAAGAATGAGTCAGTATTTTTATATGTATTTGAAGCTACCTCTAAAGCTGTTTCAGAAAATGTACCACATTTTTAGTTCAAGAATATATTTCCTTATTAATGCTAAAATGTGATTGCTAGAACATTGAGTCTATAGTTTTATTTTTTTTAGTTGTGGTAAAAAAATACTCACATAGTATTATCCTATTAACCATTTTTAAGTGTACAGTTATGTACCATTAAACATGTTCACATTTTGTCAACCAATCTCCAGAACTCTTTTTCTTGCAAAACTGAAAATGTATACCCACTGAAAAATAACTTACCATTTCCCCTTCCCCTTTCCCCTGGAAACCACCACCATATAATACTTTCTTTTTCTAACAATTTGAATATTATAGTTATTTCATATAAATGAAATCATATACCATTTGCCTTTTGGTCACATTGTATTTACCTTAGCATAATGTTCTCAAGGTTTATCTATGTTACAGTATGTCTCAGAATGTCTTTCCTTTTTAAATATGAATATCATTTCATATACATACTTATATATATGTATATATATACTTATATATATGTATATATACATATATATGGGGGTCTCTGTGTCTATTTTTATATATATATACATATATATATATATATATATATATACACACACACACACACATACACACACACCACATTTTGTTTATCTATTAATTCATCCATCAGGGATACTTGGGTTACTTCTTCCTCTTGACTATTGGGAATAATGCTGTTATGGAAATGTGTGCACAAATATCTCTTTGAAATGCTCCTTCCAATTCTTCTGGATACACAACCAGAGTGGAATTGCAGGGTCACATAATAATTCTATTTTTAATTTTTTGAGGAACAGCCATAATGTTTTCCATAGAGGCTGTACATTTTACATTCTTACCAATAGTTGATCCTAAACTTTGAAATATAGTTTTCTCTCATCTCTTGCTTATAGTGCAAGGGCCAGGTTTTCTATTTTATTTATTCCATAAAGATATGATATATCTTTATGGATACAGTAAAATTCTAGAATTGAGTTCCTAAGTAATGATGCAAAGTTAGATTTTGATCAGTGACTGTTCCAACCCATCTCCAGATTGAGAACTAAAGCTGTTTTGTGTGGTTTTTTGTTTGTTTGTTTGTTTTTTACTTATTTTTCTGTAGGGGGTGAAGAGTAGTTAGGATGCACGGTAACTTTCTCATTATTTCAGACTTTCCCAGATTAATGTTTGTTCAGTTGTGTTCCAGAGTTTTTACTTTTGAACTTTATGTGACAATAAATACTAACTGAAAACATTTTTTTCACAACCATGCAATAACCCATCCACTTATTGTATGCAATTTAATTTTGGACTCTACTTATAGCATCAGAGAAAGTTCATATATTTAGGGTATTTTGATTATGGGAATGGG